CAGCACTTGTAGTGTCTGTTAAGAAGCTGAGCAAAATCCTCACGGCCACACATCGCACAACCGGGACCTGGGCATGATGCACCTTGATGAGGCTGGTTGTGTCGGAGTAGAACTTGGCGGACAGGACAGAGGGCCCTGCGCTGCCGAAGTCTCCGAGGCGGAAGCTCTCGTAGGAGGTGAAGCACTCGTACACGGTGGCCACGTCCTGGCTGTCAGACTGCTGGCTCATGGACTTGCCAAAGCCGACGTTGGCGCCCGCCGTGACTCCATCGTACGTCCCTTCCGCACCAATGGAGTTTGATGACTGCTTCTGCGTGGAGGCGGCGCTGCAGTCCAAAAGGGAGGGTGCAATTGAGGTTCACCAGTCGCTGCACGTCCAAGCCACACGCGGTTCGGCTCGCTGGCATCAAAGCTGGGTGTTCGTGTCGCTGTGCCTGCGCCAATGGGGCAGCCAGGACAGCATGCAACACAGCAAGCGCGGTGGCTTGCCTGTTGGTGGATGACACGGAGGTGGTGCGCTGGAAGGAGTTGGCCTGCCTGGACTTGGAGATGGGCAGGTTGGTGGAGAAGATGGAGCTGAAGATCAGGCCTTGGTCCACCCCAGACAGGCTGGCAGTGAACGCGTTGGGACCTGCAGGGTGCCAGGTGGCAGCAGCGGCGACGGGGTAAGGGATGAGGGAAAGGGGAAGTATGCGGGGGCTTCGTGGCGACGGCATTCTGGAAGAAAGGCCACACGTGTCAGCACGGCCGGGGAGCACTGATGCCCAACACCCAGCATATCATCAGCCTTACCGGCAAGCAAAATGTTGTAGCCAGTGCCTGCAGCGGCAAGCAGAGCGCACTTGCAGCGAGATGATTCACCACCAAGAGTAGCGCTGGCGCCATGGGCGTGCAGAGTTGGGTTGCGGCAGGGTCTGCTCTATGCTGCACACTCGCCTGCTGCTGCTGCCAGACTGCAAGCCTCTACAGAAGCAAGGGCACACATGGGCAGCTGCCAATCTTACCCACAGCTCCAGAGTTGTTGCTCTGAGCTGCTCCAGCCCCGTAAATGTCGCCCCATGCGCCATTGGCGACCTGCAACCGAGAAAACACCCATGGATGGTTGCCACGACCACAGCGCATTGCCAGAGGCGGCATCAGAGAGCAGCCAGGCAGGATATATGCAGCTGTCTTACGGCGATCAGCCAAAAGTGGTGATACCTGGAGCAGGCGGCGGCGGCCTACGGCGCCCGGCACCAAGCCTTTCCACGCGCCCGGCTTCTTTGACAGGATGTCTTGCACCTTCTTCACTTGGGCGACGGGCACCACTTTGGGGCAGCTCAGGTCGGTAGTGGCCTGCAGGGAGATCAGTGCTGCAGGTTAATGGAAACGTTTGAAAGAAACGGTGTTGAGCCTGCTGTGCCAGAGTGCATTCATTCATTCATTCATTCAGCACACAGCCCGGCCGCCTCTTGCTCGAGGGCGGCCCACTTTGGCCTGGGCCGCCCGGGCCGCCCTCCCCCCCGGGCGCATGTTCGGTGTTGGAGGGGTGTGCCCAGCGATAGGGGGCCCCTGAAGGCATGCGCCGAGGCCGGGAAGCGTGGTTCGGCGCTGCTGCACGCTTGGCGATTTGACCAGAACCACGTGCCGCCGAGCTGCGGCCGCAGTTTCCGGCCCACGGTCTACGGTCGCAGCCACGGGACTCGGCGGCACGGCGTTTGGGCCCAAGCTTGCTGCCGCCGCCGCCGTGCCCGGGGGGGCAGCGCGGCGGCGGCGGCGGCACGCTGCGACGCCCCCGTGCTGCCGAGCTGCGGCCGTAGTTTCCTGCCAGAAGCCCACGGCCACAGCCACGGGACTCGGCGGCACG